CTTCCATGGCCACAGGTGTATAAATTCAAGCACCTAGGCATGCAGTGTGTTTTTACAAACATTTGTGAAAGAATGGGTCGCTCTCAGGAGCTCAGTGAATTCCAGCGTGGAACTGTGATAGGATGCCACCTGTGCAACAAATCCAGTCGTGAAATTTCCTCGCTCCTAAATATTCCACAGTCAACTGTCAGCTGTATTATAAGAAAATGGAAGTGTTTGGGAACGACAGCAACTCAGCCACGAAGTGGTAGGCCACCTAAACTGACGGAGCGGGGTCAGCGGATGCTGAAGCGCATAGTGCGAAGAGGTCGCCAACTTTCTGCAGAGTCAATCACTACAGACCTCCAAACTTCATGTGGCCTTCAGATTAGCTCAAGAACAGTGCGCAGAGAGCTTCATGGAATGGGTTTCCATGGTCGAGCAGCTGCATCCAAGCCATACATCACCAAGTGCAATGCAAAGCGTCGGATGCGGTGGTGTAAAGCACGCCGCCACTGGACTCTAGAGCAGTGGAGACGCGTTCTCTGGAGTGACGAATCGCGCTTCTCCATCTGGCAATCTAATGGACGGGTCTGGGTTTGGCGGTTGCCAGGAGAACGGTACTTGTCTGACTGCATTGTGCCAAGTGTAAAGTTTGGTGGAGGGGGGATTATGGTGTGGGGTTGTTTTTCAGGAGCTGGGCTTGGCCCCTTAGTTCCAGTGAAAGGAACTCTGAATGCTTCAGCATACCAAGACATTTTGGACAATTCCATGCTCCCAACTTTGTGGGAACAGTTTGGAGCTGGCCCCTTCCTCTTCCAACATGACTGTGCACCAGTGCACAAAGCAAGGTCCATAAAGACATGGATGACAGAGTCTGGTGTGGATGAACTTGACTGGCCTGCACAGAGTCCTGACCTCAACCCGATAGAACACCTTTGGGATGAATTAGAGCGGAGACTGAGAGCCAGGCCTTCTCGTCCAACATCAGTGTGCGACCTCACAAATGCGCTTCTGGAAGAATGGTCAAAAATTCCCATAAACACACTCCTAAACCTTGTGGACAGCCTTCCCAGAAGAGTTGAAGCTGTTCTAGCTGCAAAGGGTGGACCGACGTCATATTGAACCCTATGGATTAGGAACGGGATGTCACTTAAGCTCATACTTTTGGCAATATAGTGTATATAGTCAATGTCATGTGACACAACTTTGGAGAACCACCTTTCACTCATATTGTTTACTTTAAAATGGTCAATACAAAATAATAATCCATTTTGCTGAAAGCTGAGCCTTTGCCCTCAGTCTTGAATCTGTTCCTTTATTTAACAGGTCTTCTGAAAGGAACGTGCAATATTTCCAACCATCTGCCCCTAAAGTCTGACAGGCTTAATTGAGACTGCTTTGCAGCACCCCCCCAGCATATTGTTTCCACTGCATATTTTACCATGAGAATGGTAGGTTCAGAGTGATTTGTTGTGTTAGATTTTCCTCACAAATAAAATGAAGTCAGTTATTTCAGTGTTTTTGATGGCAGATCTGAACTGGGATTTGTTACAGTGTTCATTCCTGATTTCTTCCTATTACTCTTATTAGATTGAAGGGCTGTGTCATGTGGAGTGCTCTGTGTACAACATGTTCTAGAAGTGACCCACCCACTCCCCCCCCCAAAAAAAGAAAAAGAACAAGCCTCAAGGTGCTGGAAAAGAGCAGAGATGATGAAAACAATCCTCTGACGTGCAGTAGAAGAGGCTGCGCCTGGACTCGCCTGTGCCACAGCCTTTTTTCTTACTTAAGCTTCAGGTACAGTAAAGCAAAACAAAAAAGAGGAACACGGTTTGTAATGTGTCAAAAACAATCTTCAATCTGTTATAAAATCATACCTAACTCCTTCCCTGAAGATAAGGAATTTATTCTGTACATCAGTGAATATGGAAATAACTTCAGTTTGTAAATCAAAGTAGTTTCTTATACATTTTGGATCATTTCAAAAGTATAAATAGATTAGATGGACCGATATCAAGAAGTACTTTCTGTTGTAAGGTTGAAATAAGGATTACATAATGAGGCCAGGGTCAATCTGAACAATATGTATTGTCCTCAGAAGGAGAAGATGATTTCTTTAAATAAGAAATCAAGGGCGCATCTCGTTTGCAGGCAGCGGAATGAAACGCTGGCACATTTCTTCAAACAACTCTGTTGCATCGATATCTTCTACAACATCTTCAACCCGAGATCCTGGGAGAGGCATTCAAGTCTGTCTGGGAATTGCGTAAGAGTAGCACCTATGAAAATTAAAGTCCTTTTTGGATTGTCCACCAAAAGAACAAAATGGTTCATATTTCTTTGGCAAACAAGTTGTGATGCACTGCGTATTTGAACCTAAGCTGTTCCTGTATTTCCATTTCAAAGCCGTTTATTGATCCAAAACTTGCAAATCTACACAACTTTCCTGATGCAGGATTTGCTTGGATTTTGGAACTCAAATCTTTCCTTTTTCCCAAACTTTGATTGCACAGCATATTTCCATGTATCTTTTCAGCCTCAAAACAACTTTGACATCATCCAGGTTTAGCCACTGAAACAAGAAATCAGATGCTCAGACGTGTTTTTACATGCATTAATGTTCACACTTTCATAGTAATCTCCGGGGGCTTTGACAGGCTCATGCATTCCTTTACCTTATTCAACCTTGAACATTTCCATGAATCGTAGATTGGTAATACACTTAGGGCCCGGGTTGCCATATAAGGCTTATATAAGACTTTTAAATTTTTACGGGTCCAGACAGATCTGTTTTTTTTTGGTCCAATGTGGCTCTTTGAGCAGTTTGGGTTGCCAACCCCTTCACTAGGCCAACACTCCCACTGATCTGTTTGCCTGTCCTGTGTTCCCGGGCTGTTACCTGGATTCCGCCTGCTGTCGACCTTGGACCTGTCTTCTGACCACGGCTTAGATTTACCCCTCCTGGATCCTTTGGTTCCTCTACATGTTCTGGCTGCTGCAAGATGCTGCTCCTCTTCTGTCCTGGATCTCTGGTGCCGGCTCAGTAATAAGCAACAGAGATTGAACTTTGCCAGGTTGGTGGCTTTCATGCTTGTTGTTGTTCCGTGTTTGAGTTTTGAAGTCACTGACCTGAGCCTCTACTGCTGCAGAGTTTCCAGTGAGCCTGCCGCAGCAGACAAGCAGCCCCATGCTTATTTCAATAAATGCCTTTTAATATATCACTGTCTGTCAAGCCTGAATCCTGGGTCCTTCGTTCTGAGCCTTCTGACAAATTCCTTGTTTGTGTGCACAAACTTTGTGAATAAAGCTAACATTGAACTAATGACTACTTTCAAAAGATGATAAAATTCCACTATCTAGATGCTTTCTGGGGTTAACTGTAGAGCTTTCTCTTATATTAAATAGTGATCTGTGTTTTTTTAAACATCTTACAGTGCCTGTGCTATCAAGTCACAACTTGACAAGACTGTTGGTTTTCTTTGTACCTTTACTCATCTCACATTTGCTGGGAAAACCATCCTTCAGTATCTGTTCTCAGGTATAATTGCAGTCAAACAACTCTGTCTGTTTACTTGAGGTCTATCGCCATAGCCACAGCCAGTCTCTTTAATCAAGTTCTACTAAATTAGGCTTTTGAATTGGTCTGGATGGGAAAACTTCTTTTAATTTTCTAAAGGAGTCCTTAAAACACTTCTGTACCAAATCAACTCTCTATTGTAGTCTGGAGATGTAAAATAGTACTAATTGTCCTAACAGTCCATAAACAAACAACCTAGCCAGCATTTTGTTTATACCAAACAAAACTAAACTAAAACTTTATTCTGTTACAGAAATTACTGAACCACCCAAACTTTATGTTAAGATGAATGCTGAACAGTTCTAATTGGTCCTTTTACAGAGCAAAGGCTGATTCAAGCACAACATGCCATTTTTTTCTTTAATCTAAAATGTGTTAGGTTTGGGACGGCTTAGGTGGCGCAGTGGTTAGCGCACACGACACATGGAGGCATGGTATGGAGGCATTACTCCTCGACGCGGGCAACCCAGCTTTAAATCCAGCCTATGGTCCTTTCCTGCATGTCGCTTATTCCCCTCTTTTCTGTCAGCCTACTGTCCAGAAAAATGAGCCACTAGTGATTTTTATGTTCAGTTAAACCACCAGCGGTAAGAAATGCATTGGTTACAAAAAATGAGAGTTGTAGAAAGAGATTTTCCTCTCTTCCAATTCACTGCTTCTATGTGTTACACCACTCCTGCATGGTTTTATCAGCAATTTCTTTGTTGATACACTTTTGGGATAAATTATATTTTAATATTATTTATTATATTATCTGCAAAGAGGTGTTTGTAATGTTGTTTGCGATTATCTTAAAGGGAGTATAGATATATATTAAAGATAGACGTTGGAGATAAGTTCTTGATAAGTACTGTAATGCATAAGTTAAGCACAAGTTACTCAGGTTTTGGTGAAGCTAGACACCACGACTTATGAATAACCTACACTTAACTGGCAATTTGAAGCATTCTCGACGCACTCTCCATATGTTGACATGTGCCAGCGTGTTTCAACGTGCTCATAACTTATACAAAATGAACCCAAAACTTATCTAATGTATGCCAGCGTTTATGTCATATTTTACGTCAGGCATGCTGGTCTAATCGTCAAGGTGTGACAGGGGCTTTAGACCCATGACTTATAATAGTAATAATTGGACTGGAGAAATTCACTTCTGCATTTAACTCATCCCCTTGAGGAGCAGTGGGCTGCCACTGTGTGGCACCCGGGGAGCAGTGTAGGGTTAAGGGTCTTTGCCCAGAGTGGCAGTCAGAGGGAGTGGGGCTTGACCTCAGAACCTCTGGGAGACAAGCGCAATACCCTAACCACTAGGCTGCCATTCCCAAATTGAAAGTGAAGATAGATTTCCAGACTGCCTCCCATCATAGGATTTCACACAACTGTTGTACACAACAAACCTGAACACAATTGAAAAAGAAAAGCTGTAAATTAGTTAAAATTATTTATTAGGAACACCTTTAATTCCCAGCAAAAGTGTTTGAGCTGTGGTGGGACAATGATTTTTAACATGGCCTGGTTACAGTTCTCTGATGGCCAATGAGATACAGAAAATGTACAATCTGAGGCAAAAGAAACAGTTCAACCCTCAATAAAGCCCCAGGAAGGTGCTTTTATAATTGAACATATTTCTTGGTGTTATGTTTTGTGTAAAATGCAAAACTCTTTAACTTGTTAAACAAAAAACAAAATATTCCATACTAGAATAAATACAAAACAGAACAAGTTATTCAAATGTAAAAAAAAAACAACAACATTATGATACAGTTTCTGACTGCTGAGTCTCTGGTCAACACTGCTTGTACATAAAAAAGCTCAGCAGCCAGCAGTTGGTTTAGGTCCATCTATACAGTTTGAAAACGTTGAAGTCCCTTAATAAAAGTTTTTGATCCAGTATTTAAATCTTAAGACTTACTTCAAAATAATATGATTTGTATCTCCATATTAATGGTCCTCAGTGTCCAAAGAAAAGGCTGCTGATCCATCAATAAACAATTTTTTTTTTTACTGTTAAGAATAGTGGTCCTTGTCATGCCAAGTCGTCATCCATGGCTTCTTTTCCAGGTTGCCCCAGTTGTCTTTTGAAGAATTAATCACCCTCTCCTCCCGGGTGATACGAACAGCACTGTAACTGGGAACCTCGTCTTCATATTTGGCACGATTAAAAAAGCCACACTGCAGACACAAGTCAGTATAATCTTAGTAAAAAGATTTTTGAGGGGTTTAATCTCCATAGAAAGCAAAGCAGATATAAACTTTTGGGCAGTAATAAAGTAAATCAACTGAGAGGTCTACTGCACATAAATCACCTGTGCATCTCTCAGAAGAAATTAACTTTGTAAATAGTCCTGTAATTTAAGATAGACCAAGTGATTGCATGTTGAGTAGAAACCAAAAAAGAAAAGATCAGTGAGTGCGGATCAGCCCCAAGGATATTCCTGAAAGCAATAAGAAACCCAGTCATTGCTTGTCAGCCATCACCTCGGCCATGCAAGTAAAACGATCCACACAGTATAGTGTGAAAACATTATTTGCACCATTTCTTTGCAGAAATTTTCATCTAGCGCATTTATTAGTATTTCTGCCACAGAGTAAGAATGGCCCGTTGCTTGCTTTACCAGAAAGCAACATTTTTACAGCAAGATGGAGCAAGAGGGAGAAATTCAATATCTGACAGACCCAGTAATTTTACCCCTCACTTTTTATGCATTTGATGTCAGCTTCTCTTTTTCTGATGGGTCCTCTTTATTCTTTTTCTCAAAGACTCCACACTGAGAAGAGGCACATCATTAGAAATGTGTTTGATCACTTTACCTGCATATGTTGTGTTGATGGTGGTTACAAACGAGCAAAAGTGACACAAACATATGAAAAATATGCGTTTATCACTAGGTAGAACCTTGGTTATTTCCTCTCACTCCTACCTTCCAAAGCAGGAAAGCAAGAAGGCCCAACAACAGCAGGCCAAGCAGGATGGAGAGCACGATGATCCACCATGGGACTCCGCCATAATAAGAAGCATGCCGCACTGGAAACACTGTCATTTTCACCTGGAAAATAAACAAAAACAAAAAACAGCAGTATTACTTGGATAATTCTGAGTTAATTGCATAAATTTAATTGACATTTAAAACATTAGGTATTATGAAAAAAAAAAATCCTATCATATTGCTACTCTCTCATATCCACACAATTTTAGGAATGTTGGAATGTTAGTAGCTTCTAGTAAAATCCTGTTGAACAGAAATCCTGCGTAACAGACTCATTCCTTTCTCAAAAACAGGGTGATGTCCCGTCTGGGTATGATACAAGTCAATCCTGACAGATCATGTCAAAGAGACTGTAGTTAATAAATTAATGCACAACAACAAGCTGGTATTTAAGTCAGGACCTTTCAGAAAAAAACAGCTGAATTTTAATCTATCTCATTAAAGGAATGGACTCTTAATAAGTTTGGAGTTTTACAGCAATTATCTGGGGGAGTTTTTACATTTTCAGTCAGAAAGAGAGAGGATCACCTTTCTAATTGGGGCTGATTTTGAGGAAGTCAGTTATACTTTGCCTTGCAAAGTATAACAGACATATTAGATTTGAATTTGGTTCCGGGTTCGATTCCCAGCCCGGTGCATTTCTGCATGGAGTTTCCATGTTCTCCCTGTGCTTTTGTGGGTTCTCTCCAGGTACTCTGGCTTCCTCCCAAGGTAAAAAAAAAAAAAAGACTGTTAAATCAGGCATCCCCAAACTCGGTCCTCAAGGCCCCCTGTCCTGCAGGTTTTAGAGGTTTCCCTGCTT